TCCCGGTTCCTCTACCCTCTCCTAAAATGGCCCTCACAACCTGAAGGAAGAGATGGAAATTCCTCACCGCCCCCACACCCCCGTGCTGGACAGTGAGCTGGGCCTCACTCTTAGAGTCATATGAGCAACCAGGCCCGGTTCATGTATTTTTAGTCAGCCTCTGGCTGAGTCCCCAGAATAGCCCTGTGGCCTATGGAGATGGGCAAAAAGGGGGTGGACTCCAGCATGGCACCTGGTCTGTGGGCACCGAGTGGCCCACCAGGATCCCTGGCATGAGGGGCAGTGGCAGAGCACGAATAGCAGCCCCAAAGGGACTGAGAGAGGGAAATATGAAAACCACCTCCCGGGGGGTGTTGGCTGAGAAGGGAAACAGCACAGCCCTGCGGGTGGCAGTGACATGGGAAGCAGAGGGGGAAGGGATGGGTGTGGCGGCATGGGAACAGAACCGGGGGGCAGGAATGGAGTCAGGAGAAGGGGAAGAGAGCAGTAGCAGGGCCATGACAGGCAGGCTACTGGAGTGCATCACTATTTGACTAGGCCTGGGGGTCAAAGGGAGAGAAACGGGAAGGGGGGATCCTCTATGATGTTGGGCCCATGCACCAGGGTGGGTTTGGTGCCCGTATCCATGACAACGCTGGGAAGATGGAGGAGCCCAGAGGTGTCCTAGCAGCGAGAGTGAGGAGGCGGCCTGGGGAAGGGCGAAAGAGGAGGAGTGGGCAATATAACAAAGCTGTCACTCAGAGTGAAGTCCGTTGGCAGGGGGTCCGCTCTGCCCTGGGGGACAGAGGCCAAGACAGGGCCACGATCTCCTCAAAGATGGAGCAGAAGTTCCCATTTGCCACCACAGCGTCCTCCCTATTAGCAACTGAGGTGATGTCCATCTCTGTGCTGACTGGGGGGCATGATGAGAAAGGGATGGGGGGGAGGCTTCCTCCAATGCCTCCTCAGGAATGGACTCTCAAAGGGGGGTGTCACTGCTCCCCCTCTGCTGCCACTGTCTCCTTGGCTGGCTCCACTCGCTAGACTTTGCCAGGGGCAAGGCAGACGGTTGGGCAGTGGCAGCTCCCTTCAAGGGCTAACATGCTGAGTGGGGGGTACTGGACCAATGGCTTCTCTTTGCTGCATTTCCCCTCCAAGGGGGTAGTGGGGGAGGGCCAGCCAGCGGGATGCGTCCAGGGGCAAGGCCTTGGCTTTGGAGTAGGGGGACAAGGTGAAGGGAAATTGCTCCCCCCCCGCAGCCTGGCACAGGCCTTCTCCCAAGCCTGGTGGCAGCCTCCTCTTCTCAAGCCCCACCTGACCATGTGCCGGGTGGGGAAGAGGGCCTGGTCTGCAGAGCTGGGACTAGAGGAGGTGGCAGGGGCAGATGGCAAGTTGGTGAATGGACGGGCCATGGCTACCTGAGCTTAAGCTCTGGAGGCCGAAAGGCTCTTGTTTTTCCCTTTACTTCATCCATTTCTGCCAGCCAAGGGAGCTCCCTCAAGCCTGAGGGAGGTGGGGGCCATGGCAGGGATGGAGTCCCTGATGGTGTCCCACGGGGGGCATTGGCAATGAAATCAAGAGCAGTGGTTGAGGTGGTAGCCACAGAGCAGGTGGGGAAGTTAGTGTAGTGGGTCCAAGGAAGCTGGCCAGGGTCCCCTCCATCAGTCTCCCTCCGGCATCCATAAGAACGGCCAGGGTGGGTCAGACCAAAGGTCCATCTAGCCCAGTATCCTGTCTGCCGACAGTGGAGTAAACAGAAGGGCTGTGTCTAGACTGGCCAGTTTTTCCGGAAAATCAGCCGCTTTTCCGGAAAAACTTGCCAGCTGTCTACACTGGCCGCTTGAATTTCCACAAAAGCACTGACTTCCTACTGTAAGAAATCAATGCTTCTTGCAGAAATACCATGCTGCTCCCATTCAGGCAAAAGTCCTTTTGCGCAAAAGCGCCACTGTAGACAGCTCAGATTTTTTTTCTGCAAAAAAGCCCCAATCGCGAAAATGGCGATCGGGGCTTTTTTGCGCAAAAGCACATCTAGATTGGCTACGGACGCTTTTCTGCAAAAAGTGCTTTTGCAGAAAAGCGTCCGTGCCAATCTAGACGCTCTTTTCCGAAAATGCTTTTAACGGAAAACTTTTCCGTTACAAACATTTCGGGAAAATCATGCCAGTCTAGATGTAGCCAAGGAGTGAACAGAAACAGGTAATCATCAAGTGATCCTTCTCCTGTCTTTCCTGTCTTTTCCTGACCCCCCGCCAAATAGAGGCTAGGGACACCATTCCTACCCATCCTGGCTAATAAGAACTGATGGACCTAACCTCCTTGAATTTATCTAGCTCTTTTTTGAATCTTGTAAAGTTCTGGTCTTCACAAAATCCTCTGGCAAGGAGTTCCACAGATTGACTGTGTGTTGAATGAAGAAACGTTTCCTTTTGTTTGTTTTTAAACCTCCTGCCTATTTATGTCATTTGGTGATCCCTAGTTCTTATGTTATGGGAAGAAGGATTGGATGAAACATCAGAGTGGGGGCAGGGGGGCAGGGAATGGAAAGGACGGGGAGGAGAGGTCATTTAACTGTGCCTCCCTACTAGGATGCATTCAGGGAAAGGGGGCTCTGATAGTAAGGGGTCACAGGGCACCCAACAAGGCAAGCGGGGCGGGGCTCAATAACCAGCACGGGGAAGGGTACCAGCTCCTCTGGAAGCACTGGGTAAGGGGTATGTGTGACCGCTTACCACCCCATTTAAGATGCCACCTGATATCCTGGGATACCGCTGAGCCCATCACATCTGTCAGCTTGCACCCCCTTTACCCTGTCTTACCAGCCTCTTAAGCCTCCTCTAGCACTCAACTTCCTAACTGTCAGGGAGGTGAAACACTGGAATAAATTTCTTAGGGACATTGTGGAATCTCCATCTCTGGAGAGGTTTAAGAGCAGGTTAGAGAAACACCAATCAGGGATGGACGAGTTTTGCCTCACAGAGGACATCAAAGCTGTAGCTGCACACTTAATTGGAGCCCAGAATTGGCTGATTTCCTCAGGAGGAGATTCTCCCTTAACCACAAATAGTTCCTCAAGAGCAGAGTATTAAGGCCCATCTTTCAGTCATGGGTCATTCCTTCAATTAACCTGTTTGCAGTAAAAGATAACTAAGAAATGTCACCCATTTTGTTCTTGGGCAAATCAGTCTAGGTTCAATAACTGCCAATTTCACGTTGGACTGAAGACCAGATCGAATGTTTGCATGCTTCCTTCATCTTGCAATCCTTCTAGTTCTGGCAAGTCATTCAGAAACTGAAACGAGACCATGGCAAATTACCGCCATGGCGCCCGCGGGCACTGCGTTGAGAACCACTGCTTTAGACTATTGGTTTTTCCCGTTACATTCCAGCTCCACTTTCCCCTTGATATTTTTATTCTTACTGCCTCTTCTTGTTCTCCCAGGCGGAACACACGATCAGCGCCCCTGCCTGCATGGCCGTCAATGGAGTGACGTCATCATCGGGCGCCCCGGGCACCCCGTGACGTCATCATCGGGCGCTATTGAAGACAGCTCCTTAGGCGACGGCCGAGTCGGCCTATAGTCATGGTCCGCCCCTGCAGGGAACTGGCCTAGAGAACCTCTTGAGATTCCTTCCAGTCCTAGGAGTCTCCAATTTGAAAATATACCAATATATTACTTACAATATATTAATTCATGCTACGTACATCTGAGCTCCGCCAAATCCCACGAAAGTCCATTGCCTGGGAATATCAGGCCCATATCTGCCTTTATGTACGTACATCAACTCTCCATACGTCTGAGAGGTGGCAGAGGCCAAAGAAATAAACAGGAAGGAAGAAATGTGGTTTGACTATGCAGAATGGATCGTTGTTCCAGTCCCTCTTTGAATGGACAGGATTTAAACACATGCCTGGCGGGGGGAGTCTAGCTTGTTAAATGCCTGAAAGGAAGTTGGTACTTTGGGGGAACTGATGTTTGGAGTCAATGGTTTTCTTGTAGGGCGTATATCTGGCAGCCAGCTGAGCCCTGTCCGTTGAAGTGTGTTTGCAAACCATTTAAACTCTGATCATTGCTGTACACTGGAGCTCTGCAGCTTCCCAAACTGAAATGTGCATCTATGACGAGAAATATGGTGCCAGCTGGTAGAGCATCAGACTTTTCGGCTAAGGGTCCAGGGTTCCTGTCCCCCAGAGTAAGTCCATCAATGCCTATTAGCCAGGATGGGTCGGAATGGTGCCTACAGATGCTGTTTGTCAGATGTTGGAAATGGGTGACAGGGGAGGAATCGCTTGGGGACTGCCTGTTCTGTTTACTCCTTCTGGGGCAACTCGTATTGACCACTGTTGGAAGACAGGACACTGGGCTAGATGGACCTTTGGACTGACCCTGTGTGGCCATTCTTATGAATTTATGGAACACGACAGCATTAATGGCAAGGCATTCTGAAATAGCAAACATGCTTCATGAAATAAGGTGTCACACACAGGCATGGTAGTAAAAGACAACTTTATTTCCTGCCCTGCATCACCTGACATATGCCCAGGTGACAGAAGGTTGTACACCTCTGCCAGGGTATGTCTACACTACCCCGCTAGTTCGAACTAGTGGGGTAATGTATACATACCGCACTTTCTAATGAAGCCCGGGATTTGAATTTCCCGGGCTTCATTAGCATAAAGCCGGCTCCGCCATTTTTAAAAGCCGGCTTGTTCGAACCCCGTGCCGCGCGGCTACACGCGGCACGGGCTAGATAGTTCGAACTACGTAGTTATTCCGATCTATCTGTACACCTCGTTCCACGAGGCGTACAGATAGTTCGGAATAACTACGTAGTTCGAACTATCTAGCCCGTGCCGCGTGTAGCCGCGCGGCACGGGGTTCGAACAAGCCGGCTTTTAAAAATGGCGGAGCCGGCTTTATGCTAATGAAGCCCGGGAAATTCAAATCCCGGGCTTCATTAGCAAGTGCGGTATGCATACATTACCCCGCTAGTTCGAACTAGCGGGGTAGTGTAGACATACCCCCACGTACCAGAAGTCAGCACCCACTGACTCTAGTGGCTACTGTTACACTTAATACAGGACTTCTTGCAATACAAATTGTTTACATCAGACATAAATACACATAACACTTTGCAGACAGCCTCTTTGTTAGCCACTGACAACCAGTGGAGAAGGCGAGTTCACGGGCAGTGTCTTCAGGAGAGTCGACATACATTCAAAACACCCGGGAATAAAACACCCACGCCCCCAGGAACAAAAGGTAAATGGACATTACAGCTACAATGAAATGCCTGGCCTTTTTCACAAAGCTCTTTCTGATGAGCTTCCGAGAATCGCCTCGGATTTACAGTTGAAGCTGATTATGCTGAATTTCCAGACATCCCTATTTATTATTAATTATTATGATTAATTATTTGTAGTAGTACTACTATGTTGGGTCTAAGATCCTGACCCTGCAAGCTGCCCACGTGCGTAGCTCCCGTGGCCTTCACCAGAAGAATCGCGCGCAGAAGGCTGTAAGGAGCCTGCCCGACATTTTCAGACACAGCCGTCTGCAAAAGATGTGCCATGTGAGGAATGTTGGAAGAGACCAAACCACCAGGAAGGAAATAAACACCGGTCCCGCCTGAGAGGAGAAAGACACACACACTGCGTCTACCAACGCCAAGGTGTGCGTGCACGGGGGCCAGTTTGTGTCTGCAATCTGAATGTGCCCTGTTACCTGCTTTTCACCTGCATGCTTTCCTCAGGCACAGTGACCTGCGGGCTTGCGGGCATCGTGTTCAGACAGGGGATGAGCTGCCTCAGAGCTAGATCTTGCTCAGTGGTGTGGCGGCGCGTTGCGAGACGAGAGCTGGGTTAGGCAGCCATCCATCCCTAGAGCAGCAGTGTATCGGCTGGGGAAGAGACCCACTGAATACTCAAGAGATTTTGGGGCCTGGCGGGTGCTTCTCCACCACCCAAAGCTGGGGCCTGCCAGTCTGGGGGGTCTTAGGTTTCCCCAGCAGGCTTGTGTGCAAACTACACTTTGCAGCATGTGTTAGCGGGGGGGGGCACACTGCTCCTTCTCACCGCTGCAGCACTATGCACAGCCCTGCCGGAGTGCTCTGGGAACAGGTGCATGGACAGTCCCTGGGACCGCCAAGTGTGATGCCTCGAATGGGGCATGCCCGCCTCTGGCAGCCAGCGCACATCTGCCCAGGTCCCAGAGAGTGCTCCGACCACCGTTCCCCCGGCAGTAAGTCGCAGCGGTTCTTTGCCACGATTGGGGTTGCATGGCGCAGGTTTCTTGTAGTGCGGTGGCTTCTCTGCCATGCTGTTGCCACAGGCCCTCCCCGCCTCAACCCTATTGTCCCCCAAAAGCCCCAACCCCAGGTTGTCACAGGAATCCTGTTTCCCACCTGTTGCTTAATAATCTCTCTCACAGATTCCTCCCCATCACAGTCCCCTGACCTCCCCAGACTCCTGACTCCTTCCCACACCTTGGCCTTCACAAAATCCCCCCCCACACACTTCCCTTACTCCTGAGGCTCCTACCTCCCCTAGACCTCCTGAGTGAGATGGGGGGACCACTCCGAGGGGGAAATCCCTGACTTCTCCCCACAATCAGGAAACGGGGCACACCACCCTGCACAAACTCCCATTGCCCCATTCCTTCACTTGGCTCCCTGTACCAAGAGCAGGATTTGACCCGCATGTGTAAATTTTGACTCATATCTCTCCTTCGCTAGCTCTTGGGCACAGCGTTTGCTGGGGGAAAATCCAGTAGGTCCCATTTGCATCCTTTAACTAGTCTCAGCTGCTTTTTACTAGTTGAAGTTGGAGAACTAGTAGCCCCAGTAACCAATAGATCTATTGCTCTGTTCCTCAAACTTAGTTAGCTGTCTGGAACCTGTTGGAAATATTCCAAGTCAAGTGGCATTTCAATTAGTGGAATAATCACAGCAATGGTCATTTCCTTTCTGGCTGCAGGGCTCACTGTTTCTGAGGGATGCTTTTTCATGCTTCTGCTTTTTTAATGGTGCCACACAGAGTGCACACAATACAGCCACCAGCCAGCACTGTACTATGGAAAATAGCACATTGCAATCCGGGTGCTGTGCGTGTCCATTTGCATGGATGCAGTGAGTCTAGCATTGCAGTGGGAGTTTTACAAAGGGCTGACTGGTTTTATTACGCTGCATGATGAAAAAAGGCCATTCATTGTCGCAGAAGGGTGTAAACATACACACCTGCTTGGGGAGTGGAGGGAGGGGGGGAACTGATTACTGTATCAGAAGGGAATTTGGCCCTTCCTCCTGGAATGATGGAAATTGAAAGATGTGACGTTCATGCCTGTGCAGAGGGCCCTCAACTAAATTTAAATCCTAAACATAGGTCTTAACTCATGCCAAGGGCTCTGCCCTCAGAGGGCTTTCCTCCTATGTGCTTTATGGAGTTGTGGGGTTTGGTGGTGGTGAGGTTTTGTTTGTTCGGTTTTTGGGGTTTTTCCTTTGCTTTTCTCTGGAGCTTTAAAGGAAAGGCAGGATACAGATTAGTTGGACCATTGGTCAGATCTGACATAGCAAACCTTAATTTAATGCTGCCGCATAAAAAAGAGACTCCAAGAAAGCTGACGCATCTTCATTTCATCACTGCTGATTTGCTGGAAGAGGCAGCAAACGTGGAGAAAACAGTTTCTCCAAGAAATCACGTAGCTTCTTTCACGCCTGGCTGAAACACAAGGAAGCTGGTGATCCAGCTGAATAAGTTGCACCAAGCAATACAAATCCGTACATGCGTATAGATTGTACAACGTCATACAAACCGTTTCCTCATCACTGAAATATTTGGTGTCGGGGGGGCGGGGCATGTTGTTTCGCTTTAGAGTGCTTTCCCTGTGGAGGCTCAGATGCGTTCCAGAAACATCTGACCAGCTGCTAGTGACAAGTGGAAGCAATTTATTTTGTCCTGCTTCAGTACAGTCAGTTGAAACTGGCAACTCCACTGGGTGTTTTAAATCTCTGCTGTCTAGTCACCTGAAAGTGCAGTAGCACTCTGGTCGCGCAACAAGATTATTTATAAGCATGTTCCCACAGCTGGGAGGCTTTCACAGACGAGAAGAGTGTTCATGGCCCGCTAAGTCCTCTAGCAGCTTGGTAGCTTAGTGTACAGTGAAAAAAAAAAAGACCACAACAGTAATGGATTTGCTGCTAGGAAAGCATTTATATTAAAATGCAAATGGAGCATTCCTGTTGTGAACTGTAATTAATGGACTTTCTTTTGTATTGGTACCAACAGCACGGAGAGTTTCTCTTTCCAAAAAGAGCATCGTGTTCTTAAGGAATAAATTCTAACAGTTGTTCCAAAACTCATATTAGAAAAAGCGAGGCCAAGGGTATTAGAACCACACGGCCCGACAATATTCCACACTGGCTTGTGTCCCTCTAGGACCTGATTATATCTGTGTACTGTTTGTTGAAGGTAAGCCCAAAGGGCTGCCTATTGTGTTTGAGAAGGCAATGATAGCATTTGTACCTGAGACCTTGGAGCTCTTGTTCATACAGACGATGTCCCCACTGGCCTGCTCAGGCTCTGATTTCCTGAAGATGTTTTTCATGGTCGACTGGAAGTTGTTCGTGACAAAGCAGTAGACGATGGGGTCCATGCAGCTGTTGAGGCTGCTCAGAGTCACGGTCACATTGTAGACAATTAAGCTGACGTCCCGGGACATGTCCGGGTTGATGGAAATGGCCACCAGACGCACATGGAAGGGTGTAAAGCAGATCATGAAGATGATGAGGACGGTGGTGAGGAGCTGGACGGCCCTCATGCGCCTCTCCCGGCTCTGGTGCATGAGGTTGGGCTTGGACAGCGCGCACATGATCCTGGTGGTGAAGAAGATGATGATGATGAGCGGGAAGAAATACTCGCAGACCATCAGGGCAAAGATCTTGGCGAGGCAGCAGGGACCGAAGGTCATCGCCATGGTCAGGATGGAGAAGGTCACCGCGGTGGCAAAGACCCAGATGAACATGCAGATCCACTTGGCGCAGCTGGGGTTCCTCCACTTACGAGAGGCTTCTACCTGCACAATGGCCAGGTACCGGTCAATGCAGATGCACGTCAAGAAGAGGATGCTGCAGTACATGTTGACAAAGTAACCAAAGATGTGAACCAGGGAACATTTCTGACATTCCCCCGCAGTGTAGAACATAATGATTCGGATGGGCAAGGAGAAGCCCACGAGGAGATCGGTCACAATCAAGTTGATGGTGTAGATGACTGAGGTGGTCTTCGTCTTGGTGCGGAAGCAGAACACATAGAGAGCCAAGCTGTTTAGCACAACGCCCACCAGGAAAATGATGACGTGGACCACCATCAGGGCTATCCACAGGCTGTAAAAGTCCTGGTACAGTTCTTGGTCCATATGGATGAACTTTTCGAACAAGCTGCTCCTATTGGGACCGCTAGAGTTGGGCGCCATCGTGGTGTTGAGAGGGTTGAGGTCTGATACTCGGGTGGAGGAGGCATGCATACTCAGTGCCCTGGGGACCTGGAATAAGGAAACAATAGCAAAGAGAAATTTACAGGCTTGTTCAGGGGGTGACAACAGAGACCATTGCAGCCTCAGTAGGAGGCAATGCTTTGAAGGCATTGCCCAAGGGTGGTGGTGGATTTTCCATCACTGGCAATTTTCAAATTGAGATTGGGGGGGTGTTTCCAAAAGATCAGCTCTAGGAATTATTTGGGGGAACGTTCTGTAGCCTGTGTTACACAGAAAGTCAGATGACATGATCATCAGGAGCCCTTCTGGCTTGGGCATCTATGAGTAATTAACTCTCCCTGGTGGCCTGAGGCCAGATTGTCTCAGTCTGTGATCACGTCACCACCTCTTACAAGCAAAGCAGAGCCATGATGCTGCCCAGAAATGCATATACTCCATGTTTTGGAGAGGCGTAACATGATGCAATAATAAACATCAGGGAAGGAAAGATCTGAGGGTGGACAGACGGTGCAGTAATATGCAAAGTCAAATTAGGGTATGTCTGTGTAACCCACACACCATCCGAGTGTGGTGTACTGTCCCATCTAGTGGCACTGAGATCACTTACAGAGAGAATAATGAGTCTGCTTATAGCCTGAGCTGAGCTCCAGCTGGCTTTTAGCTCCTGAGGTAGAGGCTCCTGCACTAAGCTCCAGATGTCCCAGGTTTGAGTCTGCCTGTAGATGAACGAGTCTGCTGCCTTACATCTACACTTGGGCTACGTCTACACTCGCGGCTTCCTGCGTGAGTAATATGCAAATGAGGCTAAGCGTGGAATATCCCTGAGCCTCATTTGCATACCTAATGAGCCACCATTTTTTTCAGACAAGGCTCTTGCGCAAGAAGGAGCATCTACACGGCCCCTTCTTGTGCAAGAAAAACCTTCTTGCGCAGTGCCGTTCTTCCTGAAAAGTAATAGGCGTAACGGCATTGCGCAAGAAGGTTTTTCTTGCACAAGAAGGGGCCGTGTAGACTGGGAAAAGGAGCTGGGAGAGGGGAAGAGAGAGGGTGGGAGAGGGGAGGGCAACTACAATGATGAGTCTGGCTCCTGGGGGAGGGGAGTGCATAGGGCTCAACTCACTGCCCCCGCCCTGAGCACTAGCTCCAAACTCCCCTTGGCTGGAAACCTGCTGCTGGCAGCGTCTGGAGCGCAGCACGGTCTGAGGTGCCAGGAGAGGCAGGGAGTTGCCTTAGCCCCCCCACTGCACCGCTGACCAGGAGCGGCTCAAGATAAGTCCCTCCTGCCCCAGCCCTGCTCCCCCTCCCCCCACCTCCAAAGCCAGACCTCCCCTCCTACAGCCCAGAGCTCTCATCCTCAGCCCCGCCCTGGAGCTCACACTCCAGTCAAATTAAGTTGGGTCATGGGCATCAACAATCTTCAGCTGTGGCATGAGAAAAAAAGTTTGACCATCACTGACTTAGGCCACCCTGTGGGGTGGTTTGTGCCAGATGAGAAATGGATGGATGCTTTGCTGCACCAGGCCCTAAATTCTCCTTCCCTGTTGTCTCAGGCTACATCTACACAGCGGGTCTTTTTTTGTGTGTGTGTGGATGGGGATATGCAAACAAGCGTGTGAGATATGCAAATGAGCATGCAAGATATGCAGATGGGCACTCCATTTGCATATCCTCCTCTGCAAAACACCCGCAGTGTAGACGTAGCCTCAATGCTTCGTGGCACCTCAGCAGAGCTGCGCCAGCCACCAGGTTTTCATTCACTGCATTTTTAGTTTTGCTTCTGCAGTTTTGGCCTCTGCTTTAGGAGCCTGATCCAGTGCTTAGCAGAGTCCAGGGAAGCCTTTCTCCTGAGTTCCTTGGCCTTTGGATCAGGCATGCCGAAGACAGGCAGCCCCAGGGGAATAAACCAAACTCAGTTGTAGCAAGCACATGCACTGGCAAGAGGTTATTTCGCAGCATATACAGGCAGGATCTCGGAAGAGGGAGTCCAGAGAGAGGGAACGAGAGAGCCCTAAGGTGTGACAGCCAAGACTAAAAAGAACATTAACAAGCCAGCCAGCGCGTAATTCAAATAAACAGTCCAAGTTAATGCTTTGGCTTTTCCCCCATCTCACAGTCCTGAATCCAAACAGCTGGGCGAATTCCCACCCCCACCCACCTCCGGCCTTTGAATGTTACCCAGCTCTCAGGGAATGGCTTCAGCGTGTGTTTAGTTTTGCAGCCTCTCTGTGTTTAAATTTCCTCCAGTGATTTATCATCCTGTTTATAAACAAAGGGTTAAACCCACTCTCTTTCAATTTAAATTGTCCGATCCTCCCGCTGGCTAGTTCTTGCTCAGCTATGGCTCAGACTGGCCAAATATGGTATTTTCTGCAGACAGCACACAGAGGGTGGCTTCTATGCCATACATCTCTCAGTCAGCTTGGAGAGAATGGCTGTGCGGCATACTCCCAGCAGAATACCCGGGGATCAAGCAGCGCTCAGCTGGTACAAGGAAAGGAAATGAGTGAAACACGTTTCGGAGGGAGGCGGGGGGAGCTCACAGATTATATGGCTTGTGCTGGTTTCTCTAGGAAACAATTGATCCCATCTCTAAAAGAACCATCACTAATTGGCACCTTCGTTAGTATTCTCAACAGCAGCGAAGGTCTGAATACACCAGGGTGGCCAAAGGTATTTAGGCACCTAAACATGCAGCTAAGAAGATTTCAGAAGTGCTTGACCCCTATTGAAACCAATGGGAGTTAGGCACCAATATGCTTCCAAAAATATCCCCAGGCACCTCGCTACATCTTTAGGTGACTAGACTCTCTTTAAAAATCTATCCCTGACTGATCATGATGATCCCGAGAATGCGCCCCATTGCCTCAGACCTGAGGCATATTGGCTAGGGATGACTGGGGGAAAGTTGGCTTTACTAAGGTCATTCTGTGGCTGAAGAATTTCAGTCCTCAGGAGCGTGAGTTCAGCACTTTTCAGTCGTATTCCATGTTATTACCTGCTCTCATCAAAACCGCTGTTACCCAAACGTCAAGCTTGTGGCACAAAAGACGGCAAAAAACTCTAACCAGGTGTGATCTTTCAGCTAGGATACCGGGCTTTTTTAAAAAAAAGTTCTTCCAATTCTTCTTAAAAAAACAGATCCTGGCCACTATTTCTATTCAGAGGACCGTTTTCAAACCCTTATAACTTCGTCAAGTCATGCACATTTTTTCTTTTTCCCAGAACACTCCAAAGAATTTCTTTTCTGTTAAGGCTTTTCCTATGCCGTATTCAGCTTCCCCCGTTACCAAACTTCCCAACTTCTTTGGCGTTACAACTTTTAGAAAAAGTCTCAATTTTTTTTCAATGGGGAAGTATTTTGCTCAAACTTAAATAGCCTTAAGGAAAAAGCAAGGGCATGAAAGCTTCGTCCTGATGCATGAAAGATTTGGAAGTTGGAAAGAGACTGAAAAGGGGGGTAGTACTCATAGACCTTCAATTATTCTCCACTCTCTCTTCAATTATTCTCCACCAGGGCTGAACTGCTGACCTTCAACACTAAACACACAAGCTGTTACAACTTGAGCTAAAGAGCCAAACTTGCACAGCTTGTGGCTTTAATAACTCACAGCCTCTGTGAATCAGCACAGCACACGTCCTCTCACGTACACTGAGCGGTGGATTATACATGCACACTAAGGCTATGTCTACACTGTAAAGTTATTTCAAAATAACTTTCCTAGTGTCTACACAAGCCAACTGCTATTTTGAAATTAATTTGAAATAGCGGAGGGCTTATTTCGAAGTTGGTAAACCTCATTCCACAAGGAATAGTGCCAATTTCAAAATTGCTATTTCAAAATAAGCTCTGTGTAGATGCTTATTTCGAAATAGGGGGCCTCCAGCCCTTCCCAGGGTGCCTTGCTGGCTGCCCTGGCCACAAGGTAATTTCTGACCTGATGCCCTGCTGGAACCAGTTCTGGCTGGCCTTAAACGCAATTCAGCATCCAATCGGTGTGGACATGCTATTTTGAAATAGCAAAAAGCTATTTTGAAATGCATTTTGTGTGTAGATGCATTATTTTGAAATACGATATTTCAAAATAACTATTTTGAAATTACATATTTTGAAATAACGCTGTAGTGTAGACATACCCTAAGGCTATGTCTACACTGCAGCGCTATTTCGGGATACCACTGGTATCCCGGAATAGCTATCCCATGTCTTAAAAGCAAACTCGTTATTCTGAAATATAACGGGCTCGCTATTCCAATGTCCCTGTAAACTGCATTCCACAAGGAGTAAGGGACGTTTCGGAATAGTGGGTTATTTTGAAATTTGGCTCTGTGTAGACAGTGCCAAATTACAAAATAAGCTATTTAAAAATGTATTCGAAATAAGCCACACAATTTGCGTGGCTCAAGCTTATTTCGAGCTACAGGTGTGGTGTAGATGCACCCTAAGAGTTTGCAGTGTAGGTCAGGATCCTGTCATCTAATAAGGGACACAGGGATCTTCCTTCACATGTTAAATGGCAGGAGCATCCCCTCTGAAAACTATCCCAGAATTGCATAGTCTAACGTCCTGTTAGCATCATGCCAAAGAGCGAAACTGATTTTTGTCAATTAAAAGAAGTTGAATTAAATTTTTCAGAATTACTTTTTGAAATGTAATCAGACTATTGGTTTGGCATGGATGCAATCTTCCTGAATGCAAGCTAGAAGGCGATGCTCTGGCTGATGCCGAGTGATAGACTGGCAATGCTAGACACTGGAGACTCTCTGGCTATGTCTACACTGGCATGATTTTCCGGAAATGCTTTTAACGGAAAAGTTTTCCGTTAAAAGCATTTTTGGAAAAGAGCATCTAGATTGGCACAGATGCTTTTCCACAAAAGCACTTTTTACGGAAAAGCGTCCGTGCCAATCTAGACGCGCTTTGGCGCAAAAAAGCCCCGATCGCCATTTTAGCCATCGGGGCTTTTTTGCACAAAACAGTACTGTGCTGTCTACACTGGCCCTCTTGCGCAAATGATTTGCGCAAGAGGGTTTTTGCCCGAACGGGAGCA